CTTTCCATACCAAGTACTCTACAGCTTGATTGTCTCAAAATCGTTCATAGAGCCGCTTTTCCCCATTATTTTTGCCATATATTCCCTTAACGTGAAGAGGAACTTGTCGTATACTACTCATCATTTGCATTTCGCCACCTTTACTTATTTTTCCATTGTTGACTACGACGGAGGTTAAGGGATGAAGCTTCCAGATTATTTAATATATTCACTCATGGAGAATTGTCACAGACCTACTGGTGAGAAAAATATGCTTACTCAATGCAAACTGGGACGAATTCGTCAACCAGAAAAAATGTCAGACTTGAAAGTCAGAGGCCAAAATGGGCTAAATGGCCTAAAAGAGTATTAAAAAATGAAAAACAGAGAGCTCAGTTATTACTGCGAGCCTATTACTCATTATGTAAAACAATGGTGATAAAAATGATCTACAGTCGAACGCGCTTTATCGCCCACCATCGGGATATCTCAAAAGTGGGCAATAAAGCGGGATGGGCACTATCGCATATTGCCATATTTCCCAAAATGGAAACAATCATTGAATGACTGTAGAGTACATCACTTGAATTGTAACGTGCTAAGAAAGATAAAATAGGTACTTTTAACTGAAGCCTACAAAATACGTTCATTCAAAAGAGCATGAACTATAATTTAAAGGTTATCACATCTTACTTGGATAGTTATAGAAACCGGCGATACCGTTTATTTTTCTGAGAGAACAATCCAACGTCAGTTGTACATTATTTCGTGCAGATACCCCAGTCACTTTTGCTCTGATGAAATCCAATTGGGATAAGAAATTGTTGCCTTGCCTATGCAAAAGTCCTTAGCTACACAGATCATTCACAGTTATTTGCTCTTGAATGCGACACCCGCTGATTGCTGTTACGCACAGAGGCATCCGGCACGTCATCCTCTGAGTCGCTGCCTTCATTCTGTTCTAGTCGGTTCTCTAAAATTTTACTGACGATTTCATCGTCAACAGTTGTCAGATCTGAGGTACATTCCACATCGTTGTCAATGCCGAGGAACTCTTCTGTATTCATGACTGGAATTGTGCAAGCGCTGATCTCGTCTTCAGTGAGGAAAGTGCATCGGATACTAGTCGACTAGTTAGCATGCCGAAAGCACGCTTTTATTGTTGCACCGGTAACCTGTCTCCAACGTTTCGAAAGGAACTTAATTGGATTGCGCACAGAAATTTTGGCGTTGAAATCAACCGCCGATGATGAGCCAGATAACACGTGGTTTTCGATGTGATAAAAAAATCGGTCCACAATTTCCTTTCTGTAACGGGTTCTCAAATTTATACTCACAGTTTGAAGAATACTGGCCGTGTTTGCCTACAAAAATTCCATTTGTATCCCTTTCAGTCCTTCTACCTGTGGGTGCGCTGTGTAAGTATTCAAGAGCAACATAAATTTCCGGCCACATTTGTCTAGCTCCTTGCCCTTTCGAGGAGCAATTCGGTGAAAACTTCGTTCGACATCCACGCATTTTTGTTAGCTCTGTAAGTTACGGGAAGTGTAAGTACGTTCACGCCATTAAAACATCGTGGTTTCATACTTTTAAATCAATACTATGTTTCTTTTATCCGTGCCAGACATATTCGCGCAGCACATAAAAGTGATTCTATCCATGGCTTTTTCGATCTGCTGGGCTCATCGGCAGCAAAACACAAAGAGCATTCTAGAGTTACTCGGCAATATAGACCTGTTTCGTCTGCATTTTACCCGTTGTCATCATAAAAAGCATTCAAAAGTTCAGGTAGACGATCTTTCAGCCAATTTTCATAGACTGCCCTGTCCGCGGAACTCTTTTCGTCATGTGCACATGTATACACAATTTGAGTACAATTTTTCCATTTTCGCAACTGTCGTTCTGTGACAGCACAGGTTTTTCGAAGTCCTTCCACGAATTCTTCGGCCTTTTTCTTCAGAAGCGGGTCTGTAACTGTTTGGTTGCGCTCACGAACCGAGATCATCCAGTCTTTCACTGCAGTTTCTTCTTCATCCTTTCCACATCGCTTAATTTTCTGAGAGCCTGCACTGCCATGCGACAACTTCTGCCGGAGTTCATTTTCACTGGCAATCAACCTGGCTAGGGTAGGACGAGAAATGTGTAAATCACGCGATATCTTGACATGCGAGGTTCCTGGTGGATATGTTGCAATTTGTCCAAAACGTCTAACTTCTCTGTCAAGGACAAATCCTTTCTGTTACTTGGCAAACTTGTGTGTAACCAACAGAATAGTGACAAATGTGGGGCAGAAAGTTTACCCGACTTTACTCAGTTCTCGAGTTTTGAATAGGGCCGAAGGTTTGCCCACAGCCGTCTGCAGATTTAGCTTGCTCATGTATTGAATGACATAGGTAACCTGTTCTGATTTGTCAATAACGTCGACCGACATCTTTGTTGCTCTTGGCTAGATCGGACTGGTTAACTGTGGGGCAATCTTAATAAAATAGTCAAAGGGCATAAAATTGACAAGGCGACAAGAGCCCAGTCCACGCAGCATGGCAATTAAGCGGTGGAACGACCCTGGTAATGAGCAATTAGACGATGAAAATTTAGCCTATTTAAGAGAAACAATTTGTGTTTGAAAAACTGGACCATAAAGCAAGGTGGGCTATAAACCGGCTGGGCTATAAAGCGGGTTTGACTGTAGTATTGTGATGGCTCTCTTGCTGTTATACCACACCAACATGAAGCCAAATAAGGACGTGGACATGCGGATGAAACCTTTCGAAGGAATACCCCGCACGGAAGCAGGTCCCCAGGAGTTGGTTCCACGGATATGAAGCCTAAAGCTACCAATATGATGCGAAACCAAGCGACAGTCGAGGTCATGGTCATCATCGTCTCCCCCACCCTCCAAAATAGTCGGCTGAAAAAAGCTACGATTAGGACGATGTTGATCGCGTTTTTCGACAGCAAAGGCTTCATCTATCGAGGGTCAAACTATCAAGGCGGAAATCCAGGACAGTTTTGAAACGGCTGTTGCAACGAATCCGGATTGGACAGTGGAATATCCTCCACGACAACGCCCATTCGCAGCGAGCGACCCGCGTGATCAAGTTTCGTGCTCAAGACAAGGTGACCGTACTTAACTACTCGCCTTATTCTCTAGACCAGTGGTTCCCAACCTTTCTGAGACCGTTACGCACAAAGCGGATTAACTAAAATCAGTTACCCCCAAACTTGCAAAAGCCAATTACCTAATAGCTATTGCACTGTTGCTTTAAAGTATGGAAAATGAATAATACATGTAATTACGTTCGATCATGCAAATAAAGAAAAACCCCATTTTTGAGCAATTTTTCATTAAATCAAGTCATGATGAATAAACAATTTCTGGCATATTTGGTGCGGTTTCGACTAATACACATTGCAAGTCGTGTAGTGGTGCTCAGTGATTCTGAGAACAAACACTTTTTTGTAGCCGTCACCTTTTACGTAGTGAACATAAACAGGTAGCTCGGAATAAGATGTAACGTCGGTCCGCTCATCTGAGTGTAGTGGGAAGAAAAGACGATTTTCTTTCAGTAAGTACCGCGTACAAAGTATTCTTGCTCATGTCCTGGATGCGACTTTGAGGGTGGTGTTAGAAATCGATATCACACATCTTTTCTGCGAGTTGCTGTACACCTGCGGTTCTTAACTTTTTTGGGACTGTTAGTCACAAATCGGGTTTATTATAATCAACCACCCCCAAATTTCGGTTTCAAATGCTAACTACCGAATAACCATCGCGCTTTTTGTTTCTATTTACGTGAAGTGATAGCCTTTTGGAATTGCTCTCGATCAATAAAAGAAAGAAAACAGTTATTCCTGTGCAACATTGCAATGAAGAGGCGCTATACACAAATGGGATTGCTTAGCGCTACCAAATTCTGGTATATTTGGTGCAGTTTTAGCTAAAGCACATCGTACATCGTGCTCCAAGTTCATTCGATTCCTTGCTTTTGTTTTCATTGTGACCATTGCGAAAGTGCACTTTCACATCTATAAGTTGTGAATGGGATCAAGATTCTCAATGCTCCTTCCGATAGCAATGGATACTCCCTACCTATCTTCGCCCAAAATGCTACCACAGTTGTGTGCTTTGGAAATCTATTTTCTATTCGCTGTCTTCGCTTATTCCTAGAAATTGTGCTTTGACTACGATTTCAATATCTGGAAAGATTTCTTCATCCAATGAAAAGGGTCTTAGCACCCATGCATTTATTTGGCCAGTTTCCAAATCAGGAAAATATTTTCTGATAGAATGCGCCACTGATGACAAGCGGCAAGTTATATCAGCTGTGAACGCAATTTGCATTTCTTTCAACGCGCACCATTGTTAGTTCTGGAAACATCGATAGGTCGTCAACCGTGTTTTCATATGATTTTGTTATCAAACTTGTTTTGCGACTGATTGATGAGCCAATCCCTGTAAAATGCCATTTTACCCCCTTGGAGGTAAGTATCCCCAGGTTGGGAACCCATGCTCTAGACGTTACGGATATCTGACAATGCATGACAATGGTGCTTCCAGCGATTCCAAAAGACGGGTGTGCTGAGTTTCCAAAAGATTTACAACCGATGTCAGAAGTGTGTTGTAGCTAATGGTGGTTACTTTGAAGACCAGTTTCCCTTATTTGCTGAGACCATTAACCGAACTTTTCAGAAGCCTCTTATAAGATCACCACAAATCTTATCACCACTGAAAAGGGGCGATTCTCTTTCAATGAAGGGACAAACATTCAGGGCAAAGAAAAGCATGAGTGGTTGGATAGCTGCAGCGAAATTTTAGGGATTGTTTAAGTAGCTGAGATTACGTAGTTCGCAAATAAAGAATAAATCGAACTGTATGTCGATATACGATTTTGAAGCCATCCGAGGTTATGATAAAAAAGGATAAAATTGCTAGAAATGGGCCCAACAGTTATAATAAAACGCCTAAGAATTAAGTAGGGCAAAACAAATTTAAGAAAAGAATGAAAACTATCATCAGTTACCTGTGTATCAAGTAGGATGACTCTATCTTGTGTAATGTACAAGTCAATTCCACCAGTGCGTGGGCTATTTGTGAGAAAATTGTGGATGCTTTGGACAGCAAAAGGTTTATCAAAACCTGAAGTCTCAGACGGTAAATAGTTGGCCATGACATTCAGCAGACTGGACTTTCCAGAACCCTTCATGATGGTAATAGAGGAAAACAGAGATTAACCTGCATCCCAACTGCGCCGACAACGAGAAACCCGGTATTCTCAACGAAAAGATCTTGTATCCCGGCTAGATCGGTAAAGTGTAGCTGATCGTCCACCAGCTTGACGGGCTCCCGCATAGGATCATCGCAGAGGGCATAAAGTTCATCAACAGTATTGTTAGAAGTGAGAAGCTCGTCCGTTTCCACAGGTGCATCAAAAAACTCAAAGATGCTTTTCATTCGGTGACTCTCCTGTCAATAATAAAAGAGAAATTGTAGTACATTGTAGTACATTTATTGCAACGTAAGCTAACAAAATATAATGCCAGTGGTATGTGCTGAAAGAAAAAGACACGCGTTATGCAGGTTTCATAGACGAATGGTTGATGCCGAAATTGTCTTTGCTCGTTTCGTGTGTGAATATAAAGACAGCAGCGCGCGTGCTATCCTGGAGCGACCCGGATAAAAGTCAAATTAGTCTAAGAAACTATGATAAGTATAGCAAATAACAAAACTTTACCGGAACCAGGAAGGATGCTGATATATATTAAGATGAAGCCTATGGGTATCTAGAGGATACCGGAAGGTGCAATAGGGTTGCATCATGCAGAGTTATGCAACAACCTGTTGCCGAAAACAGGCAACCGGGATTGGAATAGCGACCAATGGATGGAAAGAGGCGTCACTGTACTCATCATGTGAACAGTGGGAATAACATGTGATGCAGAATCGAAGTATAATGGTGGGAATAAACCTTTTACGAATGCGAAGAAAGCAATGGTGACTAAATCTACCAAAACCTAGAGCCTGGACTGTGATGCACTGAGTCCATGGGTCAGTAGCAAGCTAACAAAGCCACTTAAATTTCAAGTTCAAGTGCAACGCAAACAAAATGAAATTTGGTAAATATTGCATCGTAGCTGCATCACTAGGTAGATACAGAATTAGACGTTTCAGATGGTCATCCAGAATATCGCACACCATAGAAGGGTAAATCAGCGCTTGTAGTGGTCCGAGGATTCCCCCATCCGTTTGAGGTGTGCTGGTAAAATCTTTCAAAAACAGTAATTTTGCCATGTACCAGGGGAACTCAGAGTATCAGTATGCGTACATCTGCGTGCTGTTGTTTGATTAGCACGACACACATTCGCGATGCGCAAAACTCGAACCGTGCTCGCCTCTCTTTTCGTTGCGGCCGAATCGAATAAGATTGCACAGCTATCCAGGTATAACTGTGTCGTCTTAACCATGGTTTAGAAACATTTACATGATTGGCAGCAACCGGTTCCGGATTTGCCTATCACTGCGCCCCCCACGAGGACAGCCACAGGACGCCTGCGTCTACAGAGGGACCACGGGTGGATTGCGCAACACCACGCACATCTCTATGCACACACCGATATCAAGTGTAAACTAGAAGGGATGGGAGCTAGGTTTCATCAAGGGAGCCATCCCACAATTCTTCAACCTGTACAACAGCAGCATTCCTGTTTGTCTATGTGGGGAATCATGTAACGGTGGCTGAAAGCTGGGATGAAAGGAAGCGCCTACACCAGTGCGTTCGATCGAATGAGCTAGCGAGATTTCAACTAACACTCCGCAAGGAAATGTAACCAACCAGAGTTATCGCTTCCTTTTTCGGGCATTGAGCGCGCTTCTCCATGGGCCGTCTCCGTGCATCCGCCATCACGCGCAGAAGTCAAAGGTAAGATCAGAAAGTTGAACCTGCATAAGGCCGCAGGGGTAGATAAAATTCCCTCAGCTCTCTTCAAATTCGAGGGACCTACTCTTGTAGATGATGTACACGAGTTGCCAGTGTCGCGACATACGGGGACCGCTCCGTCATAGTCCCAACTTTCAAGAAAGGCTCCCGTTCGGAATGCGGCAACTATAGAGGAATCAGTCTGATGCCCACCGTCTCCTAATTGCTTGCCTCTGTCATCTTTCACAGATTGACTGGCACTATTGAAAGCCAGATTCGTGAACAGCAAGGCGGGTTTCGTGGAGGTCGGTGCTGCATCGAGCACAACTTCATTTTGCGTCAGTTATTGGAGCAGCGTCATGTTTATTGGTAACCCACCGTTGTCATGTTTGTCCACATCAAATGTGCCTTCGGTTCGGTGGATCGATGTGCTCTTTGGGACTGTCTAATCAGGAAAGGTGTACCTGACAAATACCTAAACATTAGAAAAGCGTTGTACGCGCATTGTTCGGGCAGAGTGAGGGTTTATGGCAAACTTGATGTTCTTATGCACGCAACGCCTCAGGAACCGGTGTAGCTTAGTGTCATGCTCTTCTTCGGTAGAACCGTAAATCAGAACGTCATCTGCCACACAGGTTACGCCATCTAAATCATCTATTGCTTGCACCAAACGCTTTTGGAAAATTTCGCTAGACACCTTCAGGCCAAACGATAATCGCAGCCAACGATAACGTCCGAACGGTGTAGCAAATGTGGTGAGGAAACTGGATTCGTCGTCTAGAACAACGTGCCAGAATGCGGAAGAAAGTTCTACTTTCGTGAAAAACTTAGCTTTTGTCAAACGCGGTAAAACATCTTCTAACGTCGGTAGCGCATAATGTTCTCTACGCAGGGCCTCATTCAGCGGCTTCGGGTCTATACATACGCGTAGTTCGCCATTTTTCTTCGTAATGATTGTGACCTGGCTAACCCAGTCTGTTGGCTCATCAACCTTTGCAATCACACCCTGCATAACCAGCTTGTTCAATTCCGCGGAAAATCGGTCACGTAACGCAACTGGGACTCACCTAGCAGGTAACGCAATCGGGCGTACCAAAGGATCTAACGACAGGTGAGCGGTACCCTCGAATTCCCCTAAACCCGGGCTAAACACAGACGGATACAGGTCACTAACATCGGCTTCACTCTGACAAGCGTACACAAAACGATCATGGTTAAAAATGACAAAGCCAAGAGATAAAATCGAATCAATGCCGAGAATCGGCGTTAGATCCTCATCCACGATCACGAACTGCAGACGATGCGAAACACCGTCTCTCGGATTGACAACTTCAATTGTCGCTGAGCCCTTTGGCTTGAGTCTGGAACCATTCCACATGCGCAAATAATCTTGATCCGATTGAATTTGCACGCCGCGGCAGTGCTTTCTGGGCAAAATATTGATCGTCGCGCCTGTGTCTAACTGGAATCGCACAGACCGTCCCTCGATCAGAAGACTTGCATAGACACACTTCTGCGACGCTTTCCGAGACACGTTACCAATCGATTGTTCGGTGTCTTCTGTTGATTTGTCTGGAACGAGTGCACTGACATCTGTGGACTGACAGCAGCGGGCGAAGTGATTGCGCTTCCCACATTTGACACAAATGCGGCCCCACGCCGGACACTGTTCGCGGTTCCTCGGATGTCGTGTTGCACAGAAGTTGCAGGGCTCCTGTCGCGCGGTCGTGGCCCTCGTAGTTTTGCTCCTGGAAACGGCGCACAACTCTGAATCACCTGCGATTGTCATCTGCTGGAACTGATAGGCAGTGGAGGACTCACTGTTACATATGTCGATACATTGCTGCAGAGATAGGTTGCGCTTTCGTAATAGTCGCTTCGTCAAACCTTCGTCATTGATCCCAAGAACAATGCGGTCCCGTATGAGACTGTCCGCCATGCATTTACAGAAACTGCAGGATCGGGCCAAAATCTTTAGCTCAGTGACGTACGTGTCAACGGATTCACCTGGCCGCCTGTTCCGCGAAAAGAAGAGGTAGCGTTGAAATGTCTCGTTTGTTTGGCCTTCGCAGTATTCACTGAACTTCTCAAGAACTGTTTCCAGATTGTTAGCATCTTCGCTCTTGTCGCAACACAATGTCTCTAGCACGCGGCGCGCATCATCTCCAGCTGCGTGTCGAAACATGGCCAAGCGGTACGCCATCGGTTGTTTGTCCAGACGCGATAAAGTGCAGAAATCCATCCATTTGCTCTTCTACAAACGCCAGTTGCTTGCCAAACTGCGTTCATCCATGTTCAGCGGGGAAGGCATTTGAATAGCCGGTGCAGCTCCAGTCATCGTCTGGGTGGTACTAATGTTCTTCTCCTTCTCTGACACCATGTAAAAAGTCGGTCCTTCAGGGACAAAACGTATATTCAGCAAACAACAGGACCAGGCGAAAACGCAGGCAGAGGGCGAGTGAAACATATCGGTATATACAGCTAGTTGGATCCATAATTAACGACCTTTGTGAATGCATGACATTTTTCCTTTGATTCAGTCAAACAAACTCACTCCAATGCGTCCACTGTTGGCCAGTCAGCGTGCATGCGAGAAACGTGTGAACGTCCAATCGACTGCCGCCTTTCCTTGAGGCAGCCTAACGGCTTCCTTGCTGGGCTGGCACCGCACGTTCGTTCGAGTGTATACTCCCATCACAGTCGCCGCCCTCCAATATCTCCAGTGGTGTGAGACAAGCATGCCCGCTGTCACCATTCATCTTTAACTTCGCCACTGACAATATATCATGAAAACAACGTTCGCAGGACACTAGCTAGAAGGTGTGGAGCTACTTTCTGGTGAGCGATTTCTTGACTTAGAATATGCAGACGATATTGCCCTAATCTGTGACAGCTCCCAAACATGTCAAGCAGCACTGGACCGATAAGCACTGGCTGTCAGTCGTTTTGGGCTATGCTTTGCTCCATCGAAATGCGAAGTACTTCTCCAAAATTGGCAAGGACCCAACCCTGCGCTAACGCTTGGTGGTGATCAGCTAGAAGTCGTTCAGGAATTCAAGTACCGGGGCAGCTATATTAACACACCTGGGATCGAAGATGAGGTTACGGACTGTATAATAAAAGTTCGGAATGCTTTCGCCAATCTCCGCGACCTGTGGCGCAGACGCGACAGTACTCCCGCCCTGAAGGACAGAGTTTATAATGCAGCCGTCCGTACAACCCTAATATACAGTTGTGAAACCAGGCGCATCAGGTCGACAGACATAAAGAGACTCGTCATATTCGACCATCGCTGCCTTCGCAGCTTAGCTCATGTCTGGTGGGAATACCGCGTGAGCAATGAGCGTGTTCGGCGTCGCGTATTTGGTGCAGGAAGAGCTAGTGAACCGCTCAACACCGTTAGATCACGCACGGAGCTCCCATGGCTGGGTCACGTTGCGCATGCCAGCACATCGACTCCCGCGACGTGCATTGCGCCCCGGGAGTGCGGTTGGAAGGGGAGGAGGGGAGGCCAAGCAATGACTTAGTCGAGAGAAATAAAACCCCTCAC